AAAAGGATCTTGACTGCCCTGAAAAAAAATTGGTGTCAATCTATATGCAACATTTTCCTTCTGAAGCTACTAAAGAGCAGGAAAACCCGGCTCACAATATTTCCTAAAATTACATGAAAAAATAACGAAATGAACGGAAAACAAACTGATAAAAATCAGGGCCCAACTCAAACAAAGGGGAAAGACAGCTAACAGTTCTTTCATAGGAATATTGTCAAACAGAAAACAGGCATATCAAAATATGTATTTAATCTAAAAAAATACATTTCGAAAAACAGTATTAGCAGGAGACCTACGGATTCGGGTTTGCCGATGATTTTGGCAACAGCTTTGGTAGCGTCTTTGAGGATATCAGAAGCAACCACGCCATCAACGGGGACGTTAGTGTACAAATTCAAAGTGGGCATTTTTCAGTTACTGTTTGGGGTTTTTCTTTTGTTTCGTTCTCTCCTAGGCAAACTGAGATGATTTGATATTGGTGAAATTCACAAGAGCGTAAAATTCAGAGCTTTATAAAGCTGATAAAGCATCGAATGAGTGGCTCCAGTTTACTTCTGAGTTATAGACATGGCCAAAGGGTCGCCCGGCCCGCCAACCCGACCCGTACCCGGCACGGACCCGGCCCGGTCAAACCCGTTGACCACGGGTCTGGGACCGGCCCGGATTTCAGAAGGGCCGCGTAAGGGTCATTCGTTTCATGACTCGGCCCGGAGGGTCAGGGCCGGGCCGGATCGATGACCCTTCTTTTTAATTTTTTTGTTATTTTTTTATACTTTTTTTTTAAAAAAAGCACGGACCCGGCACGGTCCGGACACGACCCGTCCCGGACACGGACCCGGCACGAGTATAGGTCCGTGCCGGTTCAGGGTTAGTGTTTTTGAGCCTGGCGACCCGGCGGGCCCGGCCGGGTCGTGACCCGGCTCGGGTTTTGGCCATGTCTACTGAGTTATGAGGATATTCACTATTTATTTTTTTAAAATATTATATATAATAAATGGACATAGAGGTGTACATAATACTCACATAGAATAAAGTTCACTTGATTTTTTATTTTTGGTAGGACTTACTTAATGTGAATGGTATGTACATCTTTATGTATAATATTATGTACCTATAGCATTTCTCTTTTTTTTTTTTTCATGTTTTG